TCCTGCCCCCTTCTTTCCCTTTTCTTTCCATTTTTTCGCGCCAAACGAGAGAACTCGCGCGATTCACAGGGCCCCGAATTCATTCGTCACCGGTGCAATTCGAAGAATTAGCCAGGCAATGGAATTGCTCGGGATGCTACTAGCTGACAACGCGTTCGTGATCAATATAGTCGCTTTTCCCTTGACGGTTCCGCGAAGACGAACCTAGTTACGCGATGGATCGATCGCGGGTATCGATCGTATCGGGCCGATAATGAGACACCCCTCCGGTAACAGGGCCACGGTTCATAGAAACGCCAGCGGAGATCCGCATGAAAACCGCCTTCACGGAACAACAACTGTTCGAACCCCTTTCGCTTTGCGGGAACAATTGGCTTCGTTGCATTCTTATCGAGGACGAGAGAGAGGACGCGTAACTGGAAGAAGCGTCATTGTTACCCGCGGGGGGAGGGGGGCCTTTCGTAGGAGCGAGGAAAAAATACGCTCCTGGTTCTTCCTTCTTCCCGAACATTCCCAATTACGAAACTTATCCCGCACACGTTTCCTGGCCTGGCCGAAAAAATCCTCGTCACGAGCGCAGGCTGCGTCTGCTCATGCCCCATCGGACGCCAAGCGCCGGCCTGGCTGCGGCGGGGAGGGGGAATATTCGTTCCCCTGTCGGTTAAGCTTCTAACGCCGTATTTCCTTTCTACACGCGGCCAAGAAAAATCGGAAACGACTCGACGCAACTGGCGCATCGTCCTCTTCTTCGCCGCCCTGGCCCATCGGGGGGAGGGGGAAAAAGGGGCGCGTGCTCGGTCCCCTCGCGACGCCTGCGCGAGCAAGCTCGTCCAAAAATACGTGAACGCGTGGAGAAAAAGCGCGCGTGTCGCGTGCCCCGAGTCCTGGATCCTCTTTCCCAGCCCTCTCTTCCTCCCCTTTCGTCTGCCAGCATGGCCGATCGGTGCACGGAAAAACACCGATGCCGGCACGTGTTACGGGGCAAGATGTTCTCTGGATATGGGTCCTAAAAATAGACCCCGGCCAGTGTGTGACACTCGTTCGTCGTGGGATCATGCGTCGGGATGCACCACCTTTCCCCGAGGCAGTTGCATCCTTCGTGAAAGCGCCTGATGAGGCCCCTCCTCGCCCCGTCGTGGCTGACACGTGCGACGACCATGATCGCTGTTAGGCGAGTAGAAACCAGAATCTCGGCTCCGGATCGCGTAGCGCAGCTTCCGCTGACTTATTTAGCCACGGGGCCCAACGGGGTCCATCGGGGTCCATCCGGTTCGGGATGCAGGGAACGCGTTTCGTACCCCGCGAGTAACGATTATGAGTCAGCTCGGGGCACGATCCATGGAGTTTATTTGCAATTCCTACGATTCCCTTTGTCACCGTGGACTCGCGTATTAGGAGAGCATCGCCCGGCGGTACGGGAATATAAAAGGAGTGGCGCGCGTTTGTCTCTCACGTGACGCGGGGTCCCGCAGAGGTCGGCGGTCTTAAAGTATTTTCGAAGGCTCGAGAAAAGAAAGGAGCCATTAGTGGGATGAAAACGCAGTGGCGCGTCATTTTCCACGTTTCTCCGAAGCGGACCCAGGTAAAAAGAAAACGCTTTTCGCGGAAGGATCGCTGTCGACCCATAGCGGTGTTGGCTGCTGTTGCTTTTTCAAAGCTGCCCCCTCGCCGTCCCTCGTGTCCCCGTCTTTCGGGTTCCGTTCGGGCTGACGTTTCACGTAGATACCCATCGACGGAACGTCACGGATGACCTTTGAGCATGCCTCCCCTCCGTGCTTCTGCGAAGCCGTCCTCTGCCCAAAAACGCAGCCGATCGTCCGCGGTGTTCGCGGAAGTCGAGGAGAAAATCGATTTTTCAAACGACTTACGAGCCATTCGGGACGCGTTCTTGCTCCCACAAAGGTCCCAACCTGTCCGTCTACTAATCCCCCGACTGATAATCCCGTGTTTAACGACATTTGTCGGAAACAATGCTCGGTTGATCACGGCGGTGGTCGGCCGGACCGCCGAGCTTCCACTCGACGCCGCCAGGGGGCTACGGAAACGAAGCACCGCCATTTTCCTACGATCGAACGACGCGACGAAAATTCTTGACCTGTTTTTACGACCACCTTCGTGTTACCGGACGATCGGGGAATTTTTCTTCCACTTCATTCCCTATTCGACATTGCCTATTTGACGTTTCGCGACGAAAACGAGGATTATTTCGGAGAACAAAAGCGTCTGGCGCGCGGACGCGTGTTTCCCTTGGAATTCCGCGTAGGCCAGAAGTGGGCTGGACGAAAAAGTAAACTGTACCGAGCGACCTCGTATAAATACCTCGGGACGCAGAGGGGAACCACGAGAGACTTCCGGCGAGGCGCGTGCTACACCGGAAGCGAGGACAATCTTGTCGTCACCTAGCACGGAGCAACAGCCTCGCTCGCCTGCAACCCCAACTGGCTTCTTCGTCATTTACCCCGGCGTAACGCGGAACACGTTCTGTCTTCTCTCAAGAACGCGTCCTGGCCCTTCTATTTTTAACCTTCCCCACGTTATCCCACCCACGCTCCTCGCTCTCGGTGTTTTTCGTTCGTGGAAACGGGGCCAAGCGACCGGAAAAACAAATGGCGAACCGCCTAAAAAGGAATTTTCTGGGGCCAGGCGTAGCTTCCCCGGAACGTGGTCCTACGCGTCACGTATCCCGATTTTTCTCCGTCGAGCCACGCCGGAAGTGCCTCGTCGGGCATCGGTAAATATTTTTGTGAGAGGTGTGTGTATCGCGACTCGGGACGAAGTAGGTCTCGCAACCGTTCCTGATAAACACGTCTGCGTGTGCAACGGCTTAAATTTAGCTGCAAGAATTCAATTTCCATTCCCCTTACGGAAGTTCGCCGGAAGTGCAACTGTCAGGGGTTAGTTCTAGCGGTTTTTCCTTGCTTTCCGTAAATAATGCCAAGGATCTGCCGTGAAATTAGGGACCAGGTACAACGATCGACGTTTCTAGACGTCGTGGCAACGTACAAATCGTCTGTCTTCTCGTTGCCCAAGTACCAGAGCACTTTTACTCGCTGTGCAAACTAAAACCACTCGCGTGTCGCGTGAATTCCAGAGGATTGACACTTTGACTGCCACGTTCCGCGTATATGACCAGCCACGGTTTCTCCTGTGACACCACGATGGTCATTGGTGACAGAAGCTTTCGCATGCTTCGAATAATAAAAATGCGATACAAAATTTCGACGTGGCAGTCAAAGGGTTAGGTAATTCTCCTAGCCTGACCCTACTTAGTGCCAAATAGTGTCAAAACTTACACGTGCATTAAAGATCGTATCTACCTATGTACACTCTATCGGGAAAATCTCAAACTAAAACAAAGCTGTACGAGAGGTAAGCAAGAGGAAAGCAGGCAGCATGACAGTAATGGAAAGCGTCAGAAAGAGGGAAACAATGCCTCGGCGCAAACAATCGCATCGAAAAATTGCGCTACGAGTAAGCGGTGCATGAAGGATTTGGCTCAGAAGTATTTCCAATCCTTTCTTCTCGCAAGTTTGCGATTCGGAACACGGGGAACAAGTGCGTGTACTACCAACGTGCATTCGTTGACAGCCGTTTGCCTCCGATGTGAAATCCACCCGAGGATTTCACGCGTTTAATCTCGTTTTGACAATTACCTGCGAGCAAATTGGCAGACGCAAGCAACCGAAAAGTTCAGGCAGCTCGAGACTCGCGGTTTAGCGTTAGGTATGAGATAATCGGTGATTAATACCAGGGTATGTGACGATCTGATCCACCATTCTCATGATTTCGCTGATGTTGAATTTCGTCCCGGTGCTAACGGAGGTGCGAAAGATCTCAACCAGCATCTTCCCGATTCCCTGTCTGTAACAAAGAACAACGGTAGGAAGGTTAGTCGGTGCACCTTGCAGTCGGGACACACACTCACGCACACTAGGCTACAATTGCGTTTACGATCGTAACGCTGGTTTCCGAATTTATCCAATGGACAACTCGCGTCATGGTGATGGTCTCGACGCGATGTCAAAGGGATAATTCGAACGCGTCTTTTCACGGGGACAATCATAAACGTCCGCGGAAAACGGGACACGGGAAACGCAGTGGCAAGAGAACGAGCAGGAATTTACGAGTGGCATCTCGCGCTGAATATAAATTCCCGGCGAGCCATCGCGCTATTACGCGAGAGATGTGCTCGCCCCGAAGGGGGCGAGGGGGCAGAGAAGAAAGAAAAGTTGGGCAGATTTACCTAAGGAAAATTACATTTTCTCCACGGAATCGCGGACGAATGCAAATATCAGCGGCGAGGACGATAATTAACGGCGAGCGGGAAGGGGGAAGGGGAGGGGAGCGGAGGGGAAAAAAGTTTTAACAAGGAACGATGGACCATGCGGTGACGAGGCTCGAATCGTTCGCGTGTCCCCGAAAATCCCGAGATCGGGCAACTTTCGACCCGGCCCCGGTTCCCCAGCCAATTTCGCTGAAACTTCGGCCAGCGGGGGAAGAAGTTGCCGAAGCGGTCGTACTTCGTCGTCGAATCTTAACGATCGGGGCCGTGGGGGCCAATCAGGATATACCGGCGGACAGAAGCCTGAAAGGGAACGGACGTCGTCAGTGGTTGTCAGTCGGCCATCGTGGCGGCATCGGGCGAAAAGGAGGCACAGCGCAACGTCCTTCTTCGAGCGAAAAATCGAACGGAGGCGAGCCGCGAGAAAAAAAGAGGAGGAACGTGAAATGTAGCAACGCGTAACACACGGCCGCGGTAGGAAAGGGCGGGAGGGGAAATAAAAAAAAAAAAAAAGGACAACAACAACGAGCGAAGGCGAAGAAGACGAGGAAGGACGAGAGAAAGAAGGCGAGAAGATACGCGAAGAGTTCGATCCTCCAGTTTGGCGTCCTCGCAAGACTTCCCCCCACCGAGCGGCGTGCCGCGGTGGAGGGGAACGCTCTCCCCACCAGCGCGCGTAGCGCGTGAACGGAAGGACGCGGGGAGGAGGCATGGTGGGGGAAGCGTAGAAGGGAGCGCTGCTGGCAGTCGCGAGACGAGCCGACCGTGGTACTGAGCTCGCAGAGCGATAAGGACCAAGCGTGGTAGGTGGCCGGTGCGGCGGCGGGTGGGGGGAGGCCGGAGGGGCGGCGGCGGCGTGGTGGGAGGTAGAACTGGCACCAACGGAAGATCGTTTGCGGTGCCCCACCAGAAGTTTAACAGACGGCCGGAGGTGGGGGGCGGCCGTTCTCCAAAGTCGTTGGAGAACGGGCAGAGGGATGGTACCGCCCGTGAACGCCTACTGTGCCGGCGCAAACATGGCCGCCGCCGGCGTCGTCGTCGACGACACCGACCACGAGGACGACTACTAAACTCCGTTCGCGTAGCCCTGAACTTCCTCGCGCTGGCTAACTTCGAAGGGAATTACGCGGACGCGCGAGATCGATCTCGACAAGGATATTCCCCTCCTCGTTCCTCGTGATCGATAGCCGCCAGTGCCGGATAAGCATGGGCTGACAATGCCGCGGACCCAGCACCACCTCCGGCCCAAAATTGAAGCACGACTACGTTGCTGACTTCGCGCTGCTGCGCATGTTCGTGCTTCAGGATGGCTCGTAAAATCGATAGGGAAGACGGCTGTTTCGTGACCGGTGGCTTCGGGGGCTGGTTTCGATTTTAGGGGAAAGTCGATTTGCCGGGGCAATTGTTCGCAACGATGCAACGCCCCGAAAACTGCGCTTCGCTTCCGTCTAACTTCCCCGACCGATCACGCTTCTTTCGCGTCACCGGATATCCGAATTTTCCCTCGACACTCTCCATACTCTTCGTCACGGTCGTCGTATCATCGATTCTCGCGATCCATAAACACGCACTTCCGTTGCGACGATCGCGCGTTTCCATTACGAGTGTCGCGCTAATTAATCCGATAGTCCATACTCGGACGCGAAAAATTCCTGCACGTGGGCGCGCAGGCTCGCCTTGGCGGTGTTCATTATCGATATTAAAGCCGCGTGCTCCATTAACGGGGACACTGTTATTTCCGCGATAACGCTTTGCGCCATGGCGCGTAACTCGCGCGTAATTCCCGACCAGTATCGAAATGTCATTACCACGGCCGGTGTAAGGGCCGAGGGGCAGGACGCGCGAACTCACGCGTAATTCCCGACCAGTATCGAAATGTCATTACCACGGCCGGTGTAAGGGCCGAGGGGCAGGCCGAAAGAGGAAAGATTCGACTGCTCATCGTGGAAAACGTATCGCGTCTTCGACGTAGTCGCGTGTGCAGCTGCTACTGCTCGTATTCGCGTCGCGTTCGAGGAAGGAAAAGTGGATTTGCCTGTCGCTTCCAACACGAAGACTCGAGGAAATAGACATAATGTCGCGTCACGGAGACGGAGCAGCGAGGATGGATATATCAGCAGCCAGAATTTATCGTTTGTACGTTCCACCGGTCGTGTCCTCGATGGATCATCGGACTATTAACCCCTTGCGCTATGCTGAAACTCGGAAGTGCGAGATAGTTGCCATCTCATTCGAGATTAAGATCACGAGTCAGACTCGGGATATTCATGTTTGGCCTGAAATGTCGACAACGTGTCACACACGTGATATTCATGTTCGACCCGAAAGGCCGATCACGAGTCAGACACGTGATATCCAAGTTTGGCATGAAATTGAACAACGGGTCTGACTCGTGGTAATCAAGTTTGGCCCAAAATTTTCATCACGAGTGAGACTCGTGAAAAATAGCGCAAGAGGATAAAAGCTCTGGATGGAATATTATTTACGCAGGACCGAAGAGAAGAAGTATCTCGAGTGGCGTTAGGAAGCGGGATTTATCAGGTATGTTGAACGAAATTCCTTCGCTATCGCTTACGAAGATCTGGAATGTTGATAATCCACGCTTCGAAGTTCGTCTAATCATCGAGGACGCGCGAAGAAATCGTGCAATTTTGCTCGTATTCGAACGGTATGCCGAAGGATAAACAGAATTCCGAGGGGAACGGTAGGGGGGCTGGAATCGCGGACTTAATTCGAGGCAATTGCCCATTCGACAAAGACAATGTTCCCCGGTTCGTTGAACAAACGCATCCGCGATCGACGCGCCGAGCGGCGCGGCAAGTTTGCGGGACAAGTTGACTGCGCTTTCTAGCCACCGGAAGTCAGCTGTTATCTCAAGAAGCAAGCCGGCACCGAACGACAAAGCCCCGTCTCGGCCTCGTCTTTGACACCAGCGACCCACATTCGGCCCAGCATACCGTTCCATCATCGTACGTGCATCGAGAACGCTTCAGCGCTATCTACCGCACGAAAATCCAATGGCGACGCTTTATTCGTGGCAATTTATGCTGCCTCCACTCGACAACCAAATTAATTTAATCGCACATCGAGGGAAGTTTTCGATTTTTCTTTTTACAATATGAGAGTGGATTCCATAAGCCTTTGCACTATAATATAATCGTGAGAAATTTAATGTGCACTGTAAAAGATTGTTTAATTTTAATTAGCCACTGTATACACCTATTTTATTCGCAAGGATATTATAAAAATTTGGAGATTCGATATAATGAAAATTTGATAGTGATAATTATTATAGCATAGTAAGTAAATATACTATTATTATAATATAATTCACTCGTCATGGTAATATAAGGAGTCAACATTTCGAGATACTAGATTTTTGTAGATTCGATATAACGAAAATTTAATACGTGCGTAATTTATTTCCATGGGGTCCAGCATGGAAAATTCACGAAGATATAGTATAATAATTTATTATTACTATAGCATACTGAGTAATTACACTATTATAATAGTATAAGGTGTTAACATTTCGAGATACTAGATTTTTAAATATTATTCCTCCAACAGTATAGAATTTTTCCTCCGACTCGTTTGAGGAATGGGAAATTAATACTCCAAACACGAAGGACCGATTTTCCCACAAATAAGTATTTTCCCATAAAGAGATACGGAGAGAACCAAGCTCGAGAAGTGGAAAATTAACGTTTGAATCTCGAAGGACTGATTTTTCGAGTGAAATATTCCCCCTAAAGAGATCCGGGGAACCAGCATGCCAGTAATAACGGAACACCCGGTATTTACGTTCGCCTAATTGTTCCTCCGCCATTCGCGTTGCACCACAGCGGAAAAGCGAGTTCGATGGAGCGAAGGAGAGTTCGGAAGAAGCGCAGAGAGAATTCTGCGAGACAAGATAAATTCCCAGGGGCCCTCGGGCCGCCCTTCGGCGCCCTCCCTGACCCTTCATCAGGGTCCATTCGTTGCGAGGGGATCCCACGAGGGTCGAAAAAAAGGAGGCTAGGGTTCCGGCACTCGAAAACTCGCGTGTCTACGAGCCGATACCGGCTTCCACGTACGGGACTTTCCACGGGCTCGTCTTCACACGGTTTTTCTACCCCCCGGATTTGTTTAGGCTCCCCTCCCCCCTCCCTCTCCCTGTCCATACCGTCCCGCGCGAGCTTTTCGGGCGTCCATCTTTGTTTCACGGAGGACAAACGCGCTTAACGAATCAACTGGAAGGAAGAACGGGGCCCGGGTTATGGGAAAATTCGCCATAGACATCAGGCTAACGAAGCAGAGGCGAAGCTCCTCCTCGGGAAAGCGGCTCCCCGGAAGCCGCAAAAGGAGATCGGCAACAGGCGGAAGCCGTGCAAGCTCTTAATTCCTCGCAGCGTTTATAGGTGGACTGAGGTGAACCGTGGTGTCGCGAATCTGTGGCAGCTTCGAAGCTTCGTTCGATAAACGGTTTGCGGGGAACGAGAGAGAGGGAGAGGAGAGAATCGGTAAGTGGGACGACGAAAGGGGAGGCACGGGGGGGTTGAGAGATTTATTTAAGCGACGTCGACTGGATCGCGATATG